AAAAACTGAGACAATGACAAAACTAAACAGGTCAGATTCAAAATAATCTCACAGCTCTCATTTCATCTGAACTGCACCTGAGCCATTCAACATCACTACACTAGAGTCTACATATATGGACCGTTTATGCCATTGTAACTTGGGTGGAACCATTTTTCAACAAGACCTCACTGCATTATTATCCGGCACTTAACAGGTTCCTGAATATATTTTACTTTCTTTTGTTACTGATGCAGTCTGTCAGGCTCTAACATGTGGAAACTGAACTGAGAGCAGTTTTTTAAATTTGTATTATTTCTTTGCAATTCTGCTGTTGCTTTAAAAAAAATCTTGAAGCTGCAGTTTTTGAAGAGTTTTCTTTCAATTTTTTGCCTTCAGTGGACAGATGAGGGACAAACAGGAAATGAGGGGAGACATTCAGGGTCCCTTCTCAGAATCAAACTGGGCACATTGCTTGTAGGTGCAGTTTTACTTTAACTGAAGTTTCAGTGGGCCGACAAAAGATGTAAACGCTGCATGAAAAAGGACTGAACTACCATGTCACAATCACAAAACCAGCTACAAAGATGTAGCCTATCTCATAAGCCTGAATGCCAGATAGCACCATTTGTAAGATATAAGGGGTGTTAAATCAGCACGTCGACAAAGAAAGCTTCAAGATAATGAATTACTGTACAACAACAACAATCAAATATTTTTCCTGCTGTATAATAAATGCAAAATGGGTTAACAAAAATTATATATTATATACATACACATATATATATATACATATATATATATATATATATATATGTATTTACTATGAGGAATGTTCAACGACAGTGAGGTAAAGCGGTGACAAGATGAAACTAATTGACTGAGATATGACGGTATTTTCTCTACAGAATGTTTACAAATAACACTGCTATCACAACTGTAAGTAAATAAATGTCATGCACCGTTATAGACTGAAAACACTCTCATATCCGATACTGTAATATCATGAATGCGTCATTTTCCCAGTGAAACAAAAGTATCACTGATACTGAGATTTGTGCAAATCAAGTAATTTAAAATTATCATATGCGCAAACATACCTGGCTGATAAAATCAATGCAGTCAGGATTGTTAAAAACAGTAAAATCCTAATGGAGTTCTGTGTTCCTCTGCCTCCGCTCTCGGTCCTGACCTCTGCCCTCACCTCCATACTTCCTTTATCACTGTCACCAGTGCTACGGGGGAAGCGGGTGATACTGGAGAGCCGGAGTTTCCTCTCACTCTTCCCTCCTCTGCTCTGCTGCAGGTCAGACAGTCAGAGAAGCCCCCAGAGAACACTGTTGGGCCTGACGCCGATCAACGTGTCCGCCCCGCTAATGTCCCCGCTGGTGGCCCCTGGCCTCCTTAGACAGGAGCCTTGAATGTGAGAAAGCAATGACCCTCACCCCTCTGCCCTGCCCCGCACGCCCCCCCCTCTTATGCCTCAACTTTCATCACCACCCCGGCAGCCCACACTCGACCCCTCTGCCGCCACCTCGCTCAGAACGAGAACATAAACAGTAATTGCTACATAAATTATGTTACACTCTGTGTTTTTTACATTTCCCCCTCGGCGATCTTGATGATTTGCTGATATACCGTACTGTACCCTGCAGAGTACAGGGTGATAAGTGCGGTTGTAAAAAAATAAAATAAAATAATGTTGGTCTATAAATCTCTGCTGTGCTTATTTTGGTTCATAAAAAACCCATTGTGGATAAAATACAAGGAATACGTTGTTGTACATATGCCACAGTTAAAGGCAGATGAGGGGAACAACGGTCATGTCACACTGGTGATTGACAGGTATGATTTTGCCGAGAGTGCCTAGTGAAAAAAAAAAAAGACACGCACACATGTTCCTGTACATCACTGGACTGGTCACACACCTCCAGCAGGATTTTATTTGTGGCGCCGACATCCCTTTGGGGACGTAAGCGTAAATCAAAAGGCTGTGATTAATTAAGAGGCAGACACACTGTATATCCATGAGTCCTTCTAGGAGCTATGACACCGGTCACAGACTGTGCTTAAGGGGGAGCAAACAAATACACAGCAAGGTGTACATCCGCACAACGCTGGGCTGACAGGAGCATTGTAACCTGAACAATACGGGGAGGCAGCTGTTGGCAAACTGCAGCTGAAGAACAGCAGAGAGAGCTAAAAACACAGCTGATGGATTTAGTAAAGTGTGGGATTTCTAGGAAGTCTGTCTGGAAAATGGGCCTGTAATCTCCTTTGTGTAATGATTTGTTTTGTCCATCCAAAAATGAACAATTGCAAAGAAGAGTTTGGTGGGAAGAAAAAAAATTAATAGAAGTTCTGAGGATGAATCTGCTTACAACCTTCTGAATACACACATAGGTTTTAGTGACTCTATCTACAAATAATCTGCAGCCTTTTCTAGAGATTAAGCCCCAAATGCCAAGCAATAATCCTTCTGTGACTTTCTGCTTTAAAGTCTGCAAAATAACTGTGTGAAATCTCAAGATGATCACATTTGAGATGAAGGAATATTAAGATTAAAAAAAATGCTCATTTAATCTTTGTGTGATTTGCGTTCAAGTTTTGAATTAGAAAAAAAAATAAATTGTGGTTTTACTTTGACAGCTTAAGAAACATTTAGAGAGGAAAAACAATCAGACAGAAAGGACAGATCTGAGTGAATGTCTCAGCTGCTGGAGCACAGTGAGTCCACCTCCTGCAGCTTTGGAGGAGTCAGCGGCCATCAGCACTTTCCAAAGACACAGTTCATTTACAACCGGTCCCATGAACTGGCCCCTAATGTCCCGTGTTATCAGAATGAATCAGCAGCGCTGATAAATTAGCCGTTCGGAAACACGCTGCGAAGGCCTGTCAGCTAATGTGCACGCGTTTGTGTGATACTCATACGCAATGTTTAATGTTGTGGAACCAATTCTGTCGTTTCCATTATGTAAATACATTTGCCTCAGCACTATATTTTATGTATTGTCTGCCTTGTCTCAATTACTTGGGCTATTAAAAATCAAGAGGTTATGGAAATGAGGTGCAGTTGTCTGTTTGTAGTTTGATGACAAGTGCAAAGTGTTTATGAAAGCTCGTTATGCATTCAATTGCAGTCGCATACGTCAACACGCTCCGAGCGTTCATCCATATTCCACAATGCAATGGGGTGGCACGTCAGTATCTTCAAGCAGAAACAACACAAACAGTTGTGTTATCATCTGTTATACACATAAATAAATAAAAATATAAATAAATAAAAATAAATGTGTCATTGCTATTTTATTTAGATCTCCCCTCGTTTTCTTATGGAGGTGCCAGAAAATGTGATAATGGGAAAAAAAAAAAACTATACATCCGGGAGTGTTTGTGGCTTTGCCAGAGCAAATAAGTGTTTGATGATTCAGTTTGGGTAACTTACTGTTAATTAGCCAAAACACCTCAGGGGATAATCAAGAGAACTAAATCAGGGAGAATATCTTTAGAGGCAGCTTTAAAGTATCAAAGGTTTCACTGACATATCTAAATAACTTTGTTCTTAATCTTTTTAAAATGTCATTCCCCAATTTGCACTGTGGAGTGAAAGATGAAATAACATGGTGTAAAATTACTCAGCAACTGCAGATAAATGTAACAGTGAACAAAAAAAATGTGTAGTAAATTGTGACTATCTTAAAATAGAGAAAACACAACATCTCAAAGTGAGAAGTGGTGAGATAGAAATGTGTGATTCCTGTGTGTTGTTTTGTTGTTTTTTTCATTCAGTCAATGCATAGTGAAAAATGGCAGAAATATATGGATTTCAATGGCAGATGAAGTGTAGTTACTGGGGATATGTTTAGCATGAACCCCGGTCAGCATCTGTTACAGTTCGGCTGCAGAGACGCTCAGAGTCTGGAAAAAAATGTCACAGTTGTGATGTTTCAGTCAGTGAAAATCAGCATGCTTTTCCGTTTTAATTACAGATATAATTGAGTGTTTTACAGTGTGTCCAACACACTGAGTTGACCCTCACTTCTTCATTAGAAGCACTTCTTCTGTTTACAGTTGTATCATAATTAAGAAAAAATACACAAATAAAAATCACAGCACTAAATTAAATGTTATCCTGAATTGTTAAGCAGCTAATGATATTTTCCTTCTTTCTCTCCGTTTCAGGCCCACAACTGTTTCTTAAACTCGAGATATTTTAGTGTTGAGTCGAGCTGAATTAAAAGCAGCAGAGCTCTGGAGTTCAAGCCTCTAATGAGGGGAAAATATTTTTATAAGAGACAACACGAAAAGAGAAAAGCTCCGAGAAATGATTAGGAATATCACTACTGTATTTCAGGAGCTTGGTGAGGTATCAGTGATATAACAATTAAATGTGAGTCCTCTCTTTAAAATTCCCAGTTTTATTATGGTGAATATTGAGCTTGCCTTACACCCTAAACTGAAGTTTAATTCATTGAAATCAATAAGAGAAACGGGTTTAGAAATTGTGGAAGAAAACTGCTTCTTTTTAAGGAAGTTAAACGGGATTCGGTGCCACGTCGCCTCCTTTTCCTTTTGTATAAAAAAAAAAAATCAGGTGTTAAATAGTAAAAACAAGCCGCTTTTCTCACAAGCTCGCGTTTATTTAAACTATTCAAGTGAATTTATAGTTTAATTTGGTCATTATCGTCCTGGATGTCAGAGACACTGGAGGCTTTTTAAGGACAATAAACGCAGCAGCAACTTCAGCTTTACCATGGACAGACAATGCGTCATTCAGAGCCGATGCTACGGGATATTATTGTTCCTTCACAAAGCAGGTGACATTTCTTTATGTTCATTGTTTTCAGTGTTTCGATATGCACGAGGCTAAAGCCGCCGCGGAGCTGACTGCGCAGAGGCTGAGGCAGCGCGGGGTCGACCGGGCTCCCGTGCGCTCCGATGCCCCGCCAAGGTGCGCGCGACCTCTGCTCGCACTGGAGAGAGAAGACACAAAAAGGGAAACAAGTGTTGTAAAGTTTTACCTTTTCTCTTAGATCGCCTCCTCCTCCTCTTCTTCAGCTTGCATTTGACTTGGCCGCTCTGAGCCCCGGACGCGCGGCTGTTGTTTCCAAGTACGGATGCCATCAGCGCAGCCTTTGGAGCGAAGCGCAGGAATAACTTGGACTCGGCAGCTCGACTCTCCTTTGTACTTGTCTCGCTTCAGCCTCCGTTGCTCTCTGAGAACGCAGCGTCCTCGGGTTTGACGTAGAGTCGGACTATATTTTCGGCTCTCCCTCGTTTTTTTATCCCTCCAAACCAGGGGGGGAGCGCGTCTTGCTGTTCGTGTATCACCTCTGAAACTCCAGCTTGCCTCCAGCTCACGGAGAGACTGTTTGCAGCGCAGCGTGGCAGCTCTCAGCTGCACTGATACCGGCGCCCTGTCTGCTCCGCTCCTCTCCGACAGTTTTCCGCGCCTCTGCAGAAATTTTGGCATCAGCCACTTTGAATTCAATCATGCGGGACTCCTATCTATTTGCTGCCGAGCTTTCTAATTAGGGTCCAATCCTGGCTGTCTGGGAGGTGTGACATCACCAGCGACACCCACCAGCCCACACCCCTTATTCACCCGCTGCTTTTTTAAAATCTCTTTTTTTTTCTATTTTACATTTCGACTTATTCTTCACACTTTTTCCTCCACTTTTTTTCACACTCCAGGGGAAGTCTGTTCTCTTCCGCTCACCGCTGGGGGGGTCAGAGGTCACCCTGGTAGGGATACTTGCTCAAGGGTACTTAAGCAGGTCGGCTGTTTACCAGCATGTGGGGGGGGGGGGGGGGGTTGAATATGGGTTCCTCCTGCTGGCAGGCTGCTTCCATGCTCCCTGCTTCCCACCCTGCTGTAAACTCACACAGGCTTGAAGAACGGAATGATGGGATATTTTAGACACTAAGGAGAAAAAAAAGAGACAAAAAACAAAACTCTGTGTTATGAATCCTTCTCCTTCCTCTCCTTGTGCGCTACTTTTTGTCAACTGAGATTTGGGATTTATAATTTTCTTGCAGGATTATGGATCTGAAGTAAATTCCCTCTCATTCCCGCTCTCTGTTCTAAAGTCACTGACAAGTCCACAAAGGAAGATTACTGAGCTAAGATGCTATTCAATTAACTGGCTTTTCCACACATTCAATAACAACTCGCTTACATCAAACACATCTTTGATATACTGTCTGTGACATATTCTGTTTAATTCTCCATCTTTATAATTACCAGCCTAATTTTCCTAATTACAAAATATATGAATAAATGTCTTCTTTTATTTTGAAAGCGCTGCTTGGAGGTTGCAGGCGACCTTCAGCACAGGAGGCAAAAAACTCTAGTGACAGTGTGTTGCAGCCAGAAAGTTTGAAGATTGTGACATTTTGGCATTTTTGTGTGAAAGCGCAGTGTCGAGGCTTTCAGAAAGCATTTGTGGCTTTCCTAGCTGCAGGTTATTGTGTTATTCCCCCGGCCTCTGCAGCGGAAGGTCAGGTGTGTGTTGGGAGGAGGCACTATGGTGCTGCCGCACACAGCCACGGCCAGCACAGTGCAAAAAGACGCAGATTTGTTAAGGCCTCAAAAAGCTTGCTGTGTGTCCTCTGGCTCTCCAGCTGTTTTCATTGTGTTAGTTTGTGTTTCTGCAGTTATTCAATAGAAGAAAGAAAGAGAATGATTTCTAAAAATGGACAAAAATCAGTCTTCCATTGCCTGTAAAAGCTGTTCTTTTTCCTAAAAACATCTCCTTTCCCCTCACCAGCTACCACCCATTTCAGTTTGGAAAAATCAAACCACCACGACACGTTTGCTGATGTCAGACTGAAAAGTCACTTTGAGGCTCTGTTGTTGGGTGGAAACATTTCCTTCCGGCCTTAGGGGCAGAGAGAGCGAGGAGAGAGAGAGAGGGGAGAGAGAGAGGAGGCCGGGGCCGTCTGCCAGGCTGCAGCCTGCCCTCAGGACGCCCACAAATATCCATGTAAATTGCAGTTTAAGAGAAATCAATACAAGTGACAAGTTGCCAATGCCACTATCTGGGGCAGTAATGAAGGTGTGCTGGTTGGGGGGGCTGGAGTGTACATAGATAACAGCAAACAGACTGGGTGGGGCGGAGGTACAGGTTAGAGGCACGTGTATGTGCACAGACAGACACACACACACACACACAGCAAGGTCAGTAGTTGTTGGATGGATGCAAAGTGCTACTAAAGCTTAAGCTAACCTGGATAGTCTCTATTATATCTCCATGATACATGCATCTTTGTTCTTTTACGTACAGGTCACTTGTTCTTGTAGTTTGTTCACGGTTAACACACAGTGCTGCCCTTAAAAAGTCCATGTTTAAGCATTTCTGAAAAGTCTATTTGTAGTTAAAAATAGAAACAGCAAACTGCATTGTATATGGTGAATTAGGGAGATATAAATTAGATAGAATTAAAAAAAATGTTATTGTGTACTTCATTTAAAGCGTGGTGCCCAAAAATATACCATGTACATAAACATGTATCATGTCACTATATGATGTGGGTAAATATCAGGCAGAATGAAATTCTAATGTTAATTCTTAATTATCAATTTATTTGATTATTATTCAATTGTTTATAAACAGATAAATTTGTAGAAAATTGTAAAAAGAAAAAAAAAAGTTCATTACTATTTCCCATAGTTGGTGACATCTTCAAAAAGCTTGTTTTGTCCAACCAACATTTTTTGCTTGAAATGTGGCTCAAATCATTATGAACATTGTTGGTGATTCATTTTCTCTGTCAATGAGCTAAGTAATTAATTGACTTCTTGTTTAAGCTTTAGCGTACATTTCCAGATTAAGCTCAGACTCAAGGATGTATGATTGATCAGGTTCATCTTCAGTGTAATAACTAAAGGCTGTTTAGAGGGCCACTCCACTGATTTAGCACTCCACCTTTGTGGAGCTGGAGGTTGAGGTATCCTGAGTTTCATTGGGGAAGCTCCTAAAAGAACTGGCTCCTACATTTCCCATAATGCAACTCAATGGCATCTCCGTGGACCAGGAAATAGCCATGTCTTTTAAACTCCTTGCACCAAGTTAGTATTCACTGAGCTCAGCCTTTAGAAACCACAGCCACCGAAGACATTATCAAACTGTTTCATGTATAAATGGTAAATTTTTTATTTATTTTTTTTTTTTTAGTATTTCACCTTTATTCAATAGACACACACACAATGTGACAGAAAAGGGAAGAAGAGAGAAGGGACATGCAGCAAATAAAGGTGTGGAGCAAATAAAAAGAAAAAAAAGGAGTGATGTCTTTAAATATATGTCTCATTTCAGGGCCTTTTCATGAACTAATACTACCTCTGTCTGCATTTGACCTCTGTATTAGACAAACACTATGAAATAAAAGTATTATAAGTTATGAAATGTCTTTTCCGTTTCTATGTTTACTCATTTAGCCCACAACCCCTAACACTTGGCATTAGTTTGATGTCATATCTATGGATTAAAGAGTTAGATTTTAATTGAGATTACAGCAAGCACGTGGAAACAACTCCTCTTTTTTTCCATGATCAAATCAGACACCTGCAATCTAAAGATAAGGAGACCAATCAGTACGCTGCTCAGACACATTCATCCTCTGCTCTTCTGATTTTGATTTTTATACATAAGAAATTTTTACTCTACCTTTCTCTCTTTGCTGTTTTCATTATTAGAATAATTAATTTGACAGTAGGTCTCTGTTCAGGTAAGACTGTCTCCATGGTAATACATCTGTTACTCTCTAATCAAAACACTGTAATTAATAGTTACTTTTCTTAACTCACGTTGGAGAAACAGCAGGTGTCATCTTTGGAGGTAAAAAGAAAACTGTGAAATGCATTTAAGATAAGCAAGTGAGAGTTTAAGGCCAGATTAGACAGAGACACATATTATATTTTATCACCTCTGTTTAAAACATTGTTTGGTGCTTTGCAATGTTTTTGCGTCCAAAACTGCCATCTCCTGACAGCTTTAATGAAAAAAGAAACACAAATGACCAATTACCCAAAAGAAATGTCTTTTAAAGTCGAGAAATTCGGCAATAAAATTCTCTCTTCCTGGTAGAAATAATACTAAATTGGTCAGCCTGCTTATCAACCCAACCAGCCTGGTTAACAAACATGGTGGAGGTGGAAGCCTTGGAGACCTTGTGGGTGGATATTAACTTTAAGCCCCCCCCCCCACATCGGTGGAAGGAGCAGTTAGGTTAGGTGGTTGTTGCCTTATCAGGTGTTCAGCATTTCTTAATTACATGATTAGTAATTATTGTTGTATTGTCAAAAATGTGATTTAATAATAATTGCTGGTTTTCCATCATGCTTTCATACATTGTCTAGTAAGACAAGTGAAACAGGTATTAAATTGTATCCTGTGTGGTATTTTAAAGGCTTTGTAAAGTTGCCCTAGAAACCGTGGCTCAGTTTTAATGTTTTCTCTGTGACATGTTTTTCACAGCTATCCTGAAATTTTACCATATGCACCAAGAAAACGTTTACCAGCATCACTGGGACTGAAGACCTTGAGTGTTTTCTATGGGGATGAATTGCAATTCCTGACCTTGTAAATCTTTTCCAAGCATTTTTCCAAAACAGTTGTTAACTGCATGGATTTTTGATGTGTACATGTAGCTATAACAAGATATGTTGAGATGGTGCAGTGACGTTATCAGCTGCCAAATAACATTGTATTCATATTAAACCCTCAGCTGAGGAGCCTCACACTCCTCATAAAACCAACTTCTTGCTTGTCTTTTGAGATTATAATGTAACCCCTCCTTGCTACTGAATGCAAAACATTAGACTGGGCTACTGTTTCAAAATCTTGTATGAGGGGATCCTGAGTACTTAGCGTGTTGAATTTGCTAAACCTTCCTGTACCAGTAAAATTTCAGGTAAGTGACTTAATTTGACCTTATGAAAAATAATTAATAAAACAAAAAATTTAGACTAAACACTTCCCTTGTTTTCACCACAAGAAAATATGCCGCAAACCAAAAACATATGTGTGTGTGTGTGTGTGTGTGTGTGTGTGTGTGTGTGTGTGTTGGGGTAAAGGAGCTCTGTTATGAGATATCAAACAGGTAATAGTAACCTGAATTAT